AGATAATCTCTTTTCTTTCCACTAATTAGGAAAATCACTTAAAGAGATTTAATAGCTACAACACACTTTTCGTAGCAATAGTGTCTAGCATATTCTCATTCATGATATTCAACGTATTAGCCTTAAAGAGATCATCATATATTTTATTTACTATGACTAAATTTGGTATTCCACTCAACCAAATTAATCTCCACTCTTTTAACTTATGCACTAAGTTTAAGAGTTTTTATCTTGTCATAGTATTGGAATAGTGAGCATAGTAATGAACAATGCACCAGGTAGGTTTTTATGAAAGAGAGGTGGTGCACTAGGCACGCTTAAGTACCAAGTCTTCATAGAACCAATCCTAGACATGCACTTTCATACTCATCACACTACTTTCCAATAAATCATTTATGAATTTTCTCTTTCTTTAAATAAGATCTCTTTAAAGAATTATGTTTGATACTTTTACTCACAATAGTATTTTATTAAGCATATATATTTTTGGGCTCACACTACCACCTTAGCCTTAATAGTACTACCATAGTCTTAATAGTGGTTTTTATCTCATTTCATAGTATCCACTGAGTTTTAAAGACTATCTTAAAGGCTCATACAATCTAATTCATGTATTTAAAAGGCATGAATTAACATGCAAAAAGTATAAATAATCTGACCTCGCATGTAGAATCACAATTCCAAATAGACTTGTTCACCATGCATACAACTTCATTCTTTGCATCATCATTTTTAATTAGCATGATCCCAAAATCCATCGTGACAATCACTTCATCTGAACCAACATCTCTTTTGTATCTTCTGAAGTCAAATGAAGAATATACATGGTTAGTCACGAAATTAATTTACTAACAATAATTAAAATAATTTATTATTAGTGACAAGATCCTTATCTTTAGGATTTTGGTATCTTATCTTCAAGAGATTGTGGAAATCAAATCAAATTTAACAACTATTTGATTTTGGAGAATCTTCTCATTTCAGCTCCACCAGCTCCATACTTCTCCAAAAATTACACATGTCCCATGTCTTAACATATTTCTCAAAGGAAATGATTAGTATGGCAACAAATATTTGCAATTATTTCACCTCAGTTTTCAGGAACTGTATAATATTACCCCCCACATGGGAATAAATGATTTCATATTTTCACATGAACCAAATAACATACATACATTATCTCTCATACCGAAATGTCAATGTTCATAACATTATAATAATGTCACTCCTTGATTATAGCATATAAGTTTCAAAACAATCCATATCAACTGTTTTCATTCCATTAATATGCATTAATCTCATGCATTATTATGCATTAAAATATAAAATAGCTTCTTTCACCAAAATAATAAATATGGTTTCGGTTTCTTCACATCAACCATTACAAAGCATTTTCATTGAGACCATAACAACCGAAGAAACCATGAAATGTATTTAATGCCATAAGTTACAACTATATTTATTTTTAAAATCAAACCTCATGCATTTGATTTTAATCAAACGTTTCATTATTCATGGTTCTTCACTAATCTCGTAAATCATAACAGCTAAATAAATAATTATAAAATAAATAATTTCATAATTATAATAACCACCATTTTAACGTTTATTGAAACAATAAACGTATACTAATTTTTATTCTTTACCACCAAATTGTAATTCCAAACATTCTGGCTTTAATTAACCATTTAAAATGGTTTAAAACTTTCTTTAAAAAACCATTTAATAAGAAAGATTTATTTCATTGCACCAATTAATGGCCCCATGAAACCTATTAAATCATATTTGCAATTCAAATACCAAAAAACGTAAGTAATTATTTCCATTGCTTTAAAGAACATTATAACATTAAATTGAAACTAGGAAACAAATACTTAATTTTAAAGGATATAATATTATTACCTTTAATAATAGCATCTTTGTAACTTACGAATTTTTCCAGCCTGCCAATGAGACTTCTCATTTGCTTTCAACCATTTTGAAATTCACGAATATTTCTGAACACCATCAGTATTCTCAATCAAGTTCAACAACTTCTTCATTAGTTGCTCGAATGAGTTTTGCAACAATATTTGAATTCGTTTCTAAATTGTTGGTAAAATAGACTGCTGCAAAACGAGACTGTTAGCACTGACAGGAAAGATAAACAATAATGTAAAAGGAATAGATTCGTAAACCGTTTCGTGGTAGAACCACTGTCTTAGAAACGAATTCGCCCCGATGTGTGTAATCGCTACAGTATGCGGACCGTCCCCCGAGGTTAACACGGTCGCTCCGAATTTCGTACACCCGAAACCGGAGTGGACTGCTGGTGGTATTACACTTTAACTATTGCAGAAAACACTTTGAGAGTGAATTGTGAATGTTGAGAGTATAAGTTGAGAAGCTCAATTCAGCTCTCTATTTATAGGCTAGAAGTAAGGGTAAATTCGTCCAACAAGAAAATCAAATTAAATTTGATTTTAATTATGAATTTATACCCTTTTGTAACTCCTCTTGATGAATCTGGCTCAAAAAAGAGTCCATGTTCATTGCATAAAAATTAAACAGTTATAACTCCTGAAATTAAATCAGATAACTCCTGTAACTCCTGATATTAACAGTTTGTCTCTCCCATGAACAAAGCTTGAAATCAGTCCAGATACATCTTAAATTCTTATTTAATTTAGGAAAATAACAATTTAATTTATTTAATTTCAGACAACTAATAATCAGTTATTATCATCTGAAATATTCGAACTTTAACAGTCTCAGTAGCCTATAAATATCAGATGAATCTTTCACATTTTTCATTTAATCTTTCGGAGAAAAAATCCTTATGAATTTTTTTAAAAAAGATAGTATTCGCGAGGATGTGTCAAAGACACATATTACCATGCCTTGTTCTCTATCACTCAACAAGGGAATGGAGAATGTGAACCTTAAATACCATTCCCACTAGTATTTCCAACTCTATGTGGGATTGAGCATTATCAACAGCGGTGATCTATCGGGCACTGATGCCGTGAGATTGTAGGTTAATGAGAGGGCCGACTATGATTACAATTCCAACAGCTGTGCATCAGGCAAGGTTCGCGGGCATTACACACAAGTGGTTTGGCGTAACTCGGTTCGTCTTGGATGTGCTAAGGTGAGGTGCAACAATGGTGGAACGTTCATTGGTTGCAACTATGCTCCTCCAGGCAATATCCGCGGCCAAAGACCTTACTAAAATGCTCCTTTTGCTTAAAATCAACTTAATTATCTACAATAAAAATGTTGTGTATACGTGTGTACTGATTAGCCTATGCATGGCATATAATAATAAGGAATGAATGTATTTCGATTTGCTATTATAATTTTAGTATGATGAAAGATAATGAAATATAACTATTTTGAATATGCTTTTTTATTTTTATTTTTCTCTCACCCAAGAGACTTTTTAAGAAAATATAGAAAATGTTTAAAGTCATAAAAATAAAAGGGGTATTTATAATGTTAGTGAACCATATCATTATACAATATTATATAGTATTTAGAATAGATATTATTTTGTAAAATTATTTTGTAAATCACTTTAACATAATCAAAATAAAAAATTAAGATTGTGTTTAATAAATCATGGACGGATAAAAAAAATAAAAAATTAGAATCTAAAATTTTGTACTCAATTCTTTTAAAAGAATGAGATGTAAATTTCCTTTTTCCCCCTTTTTTATTACATTAAACTAAATTTAATAAATTTTTAAAAAAAAATAAGAGGTATGTAATTACTCCCTACTCCACCACATATATCTTCCCGTGCAATCACTACAGCAAAACAGGTTTTTAGCGGTGTTTTCTCAATTATATAGCGGCGTTTTTAAGCGTCGTTAAACCTTTGTGGCGCAAAAACAAACGCTGCAAAAAGCGCCGCTGAAACAAACGCTACAAAAGGTAGCACCGTTTGTGAACGAAAAACGCCGCTAAAGGATATGTTTTTTAGCGGAGTTTTATTTACAAGCACCATTAAAGGTTATGATATTTAGCAGCGTTTTTTACAAACGCCGCTATTTATCTTTTCTTTTATGGTGTTTTATCCCAAAAACGCCGCTAAATGTTCTGACATATAGTGGCGTTTGTTCCCAAAACACAGCTAAATGTTATGTCATATAGTGGCATTTGTGAATGTAAAACGCCGATATTGACTACGTATATAGTGGTGTTTTCCAAAAAACGCCGGTATTGACTATGTATTTAGTGACTTTTTTTTACAAACGTCGCGATTTTACGGTGTGTTTTGTAAAGTTTTAATTAGGTGAATGAAATTGGATTGTTTGATACACGATGTGTATATGTATATGTGTATTATTCTATATTGGTTACGTGTAGATATTATATAAATTCAAGTATCCGAGGTATATAAACCAACTTTGAATGTGTTAATTGAAGTTAGGATTTATCTAACATTATCCAAAGTTATTGTGTACAATATATTTATTAACACTTCAAAGTATACGATGGTTAATAATCTAAATATTCGAGTTCTGTAACTGTATTAGGAGCACAGGAGACTATATTAAAGAGTATGTGGACAAACATGTATTCAATTTCTTGAAGTTCTTGATTAAACAGCAATTAAAAAAGAACTAGTATTGGATGGTAGGAAGCCATTAAGAAGTTGGCGTTGTTGATTGCTAATTTAGAAGCCAAGCATGCGTCCACAGCTTCAGCAACAGTGAGGAAAATGCAATCGGCTCCAATTTTCTCCACAAGTTTCGATAGCTTTAGCTTGTGGATCACTTGCCACCTCAAATTTACAATTGCTAACTTTGGAAAAAGATTATATCTTAAAAATTATGTAGTTCTAGGGATAGGTATAAAGATTACCATCTCGATCGTTGAGCTTACTTTTATGCCTCGTGAAACCAGATTGGTGTGCAGTTCTTCGAGCGCCAGAATTCCAGAAGTGTCAATGTTTAGCGCATCTGCCACAAAAGAGACATACTCTAAAATTGTCTCTCATTTTGCCCCTTTATTTTGTAAACTGTAGGATGATTATTTAAACTCACTGGTCATGTCGAGGATTAAGATTTGAAGTCTGTCCTTTCCAGTTTCTTCTGCTCCATTCTCATCTTCTGTCACTAACCTTGTTATTCTGAAACAACAAAATGCGATGTTATGTGGAAGGGGAAAGGTTTCCACACAGGGTTCGGACTGATTTTGCAAACTAATAGTTTCTTTCACCGGTGAGTTACAGTTGCATTCATACCTTTCTTTGAGGAAATTGGCATTGGCAAAGCGAAGTAAGCTAGAGTTGATGCCAAGTGTCAATAATCCTGGAGTTTTACTGGCCATGGGATACTGATCCACTTCACAAAACATTTTTGTCCTTGGAAGTCTTCCCAGTTGTCCAACGGCTGGTCCAATGGATTGCAACAATAACTTGAGAAATGATGCAATTTATACAATATGATTCCTCTCCCATTTTACATGCAATTGTGAGAATTTCTCCATTATAATTTCAACCCAAAAACACAAGATAAAGCAAATCATAACCAAGAGTAATCTATTCACCAGGTCAACTCAAACAACCACTACCAGAAACATCAAATGAAACAGTTACCAATAGAATTCAACATTCCAGGTTCACCTAAAATGAAATCTTTGAAACCCAATAAAAAAAAGGGGAAAGCTAAGGAAGAACTCACCTCTCCAAATCTCGACCCATAAGCCTCCTTGTTCCCACAGAAAACCCAAGTATCACACAAGCAAGGGCCATCATTTCCAGTACACATGGCCTCACAAGACTCTATTTCAAGTGAATCACTTAAACGCCACTAATGTTCGAGTATTTAACGGCGTTTGTCTAAAAACGCCACTAAAGTATGAGTCTATAGCGGCGTTTATATAAAAACGCCGCTAAATTACTAGTATTTGCGGCGTTTTTGCTTAAAACGTCACTAAAGTTCCAGGTTTTAGCGGCGTTTGTCAAAAACACCACTAAAGTACAAGGTTTTAGCGGCGTTTGTCTAAAAATGCCACATATGTATCCTATTGCGGTATTTGTTAAATAAACGCACTAAAGTACGAGTTTTAGCAGTGTTTGTTGTAAAACACCGTTAATGTTACCATTTAGTGGCGTTTTGAATATAAACGCCGCGATATGTACAAATTTAGTGGTGCTTTCTTTGAAAACGCCACTACAAACACCGATATATACATGTTTTGCTGTAGTGAATAAATATCAAGTAATTCAATTTAGATGTAATTTTTAGTGATTGCACAAATATGACATGTTTCTATTAACATTGTATTTAATTGATCTCACTTAACTAAATATATTTTTTAATAGCATGGAGTGATTATAATATAGTATTTGTTTAGATTTTTTTTTAATTATTGACAATGTGTACATACCCAACAAACATAACTGTTCGAATACAGGACCTCTAAGGAAAACAACACTCTCTTTAACCACTAAGACTATTGAAGGGTTTTTAATTAATTATAATTAAATGCCTCAATTATTCTTAAATTATGAGGCAAATAGGTGGTAATTGGACTGGTTATGTTCGTAATTAGTCATAATAACTTTGTAAACTTTTTTTATTATTTTTAAGATTTAAATATACATTTGAAACTTGAATCTTGTAACTTTCTTTTGGTTGGTACTTAGAGAACTTTTACTAATAAATTTGTATCTAAACTTTAATTTTATCGATTGTTTTAGTACTTTTATTAACAACGTTAACGATTGATGTTATGACAACATAAGATGTGTTGAATGTCGATAATGATCTTATCATTTACTTTTTATAAGTCTTTAAAAATTATGTGGCAATTTTTTTTTTGAATGATCCAATTACAGGGATGGTTATTTCACCTTAATATGACGAGTTTCGACACGATTCTGTAAGTTTTTTATTTTAAAATTTTGAGTTTGAATCAGGTTTTTTAAGGATAAGGTCGGGTTATGATCGGTTTTAGGATGACAAAAATCTTACTCGACTAACATAATATTATAAATATAATTATAATTATCTCTTATATATTTAAAAATAATTACAATAATCCCTTTGTATTTTTTTACTTAAGTTATTATTTTACCTAATAAAAAATAATTACATATATACATGTCAGCTCAAGTTTTAACTTAAAAATACCGGATCAATTTTGAATTAAGTGAGATCTTCCTGAATTCGGGTCGGGTCAAACATGATTGGAGGGGGTTTAATTTAAGATTTGGTTTGGGTGAGTAAAAAAATTAATCCGATCTACCAACAACTATCCTTAACTCTAAACAAAGGTTGGTGTCAAATTCCACAAACTAATATTTTCTTCATAAAAAAGAACCCTAAATCATCAAAACTATCATAATGATAATAATGTTCCAACAATTATGACTTTTTAACAATATTTATGATTTTAAAAATTTTCTTCGTGAACTCGTTGAGTGGTCTTAATGGTGAAAGAGAGTGTTGTTCTTTCTTGAGATCTTAGGTTCGAGTTGATGTGTCTGTAGAGTATATGTACATTGTTAATAATTAAAAAAATATAAACAGATACTATCTTTTAATCACTCTAGACTATTAAATTTTTTTATGTTAATATACATGACTCTAAAAAATACATCTAAAGTTGATTTTTAATAGTTGAAATAGAATAATAAAAGAATGGTAAATATAGTTTAATTTTTTTTGGACCATACCTATTTCTGACATTTTGATTCAAATGAGTATATATAGTTAGGCGGTGATAGATTTAGATGTATTTTTTAGAGTGGACACATGTATATTAACATAAAATTTTCTAATTATATTTTAAATTCCTACTGATTTTTAACACCATAAAATTTTTAAACGGGTAGGCATAAATAAAATCTCAGGATGAATACCTTCAGTAAAATGCATAACTAATCGAAAAAAATTCGGATTTCAATATGAACACATGTCCACTCTGAATAAGCTATTGATGTACCATTGTATTTAGCTTTAGTTTAAACTTATAATTTCTAATTACACTTTAAATTCCTACTGATTTCTTCTGTTATTTACATGAAACGATTTTTTCACAATTTTGTTTTTACTTATGATTTCGGATTATATTTTTGATTTAATAAAAGAAAACATAAATTTTAACAAAGTCATCAAAGAAAAAGAAAAGCAAATTACAACCCCTTTTATAATTAATTTCAATTCAAACGTGATTCATTTCACCAGTGTGTATGATATCGATTTTGAAAAAGCCTAGTGTCCAACCTAGTTGTAATGTGGTTCAAAAGAATAATATAATTATATAGGCAGCACATACGTATGATTGTTATTTCATAGAGTAAATAACATTACGTGTTTGAGTATTACAAACGAGGCGGCTTTCATGAACCCTAATGTACATGCAATTTCCAATTAAAAATAAACCATCTTCCCATTATTTTCTAAAATAACCAAATCGGCAAAGGAAGAGGCAAATAATATAACCAAATTGCCAACAACAGCTTGAAACGCTAATGGTTTTTATTTCATGGAAAGTTCTTAAATATTAAAGATTAAATCTTGAAAGACTAACCTAATTTGAACATTCAACAGCCAAAATAATAACTGTCTATAAATACCTCCATCAAAACACATAAAATTCATCTCACACTTCATACTCTCCTCATTGCAATGTCCTAAATTGAATCTAATCTCAAATGGAGTTTTCCTTAGCTCTTACTTGTCTCATGGCCATGGCCTTAGCCTTGGTCCTTCCCTCCCATGCCCAAAACTCGCCTCAAGACTACCTTAACGCTCACAACACAGCTCGAACGGCTGTCGGTGTTGAACCGATGACTTGGGACGACACCGTGGCTGCCTATGCACAGAGCTATGCTAATCAGCGCATTGGTGATTGTGACCTTGTGCACTCTGGTGGACCTTACGGTGAGAACCTTGCCTGGGGCAGCGGCGACCTATCCGGCACTGACGCCGTAACAATGTGGGTTAATGAGGGTGCCGACTACGATTACGGCTCCAACAGTTGTGCTTCAGGCAAGGTTTGTGGGCATTACACTCAAGTAGTTTGGCGCAACTCGGTTCGTCTTGGTTGTGCTAAGGTGACATGCGACAGTGGTGGAACTTTCATTACTTGCAACTACGATCCTGCAGGCAATGTTATTGGTGAAAAGCCGTACTAAAAAGTTTATTTTCATTAAAAATCTTCCAAAATAAAAATGCTATATATATATATATATATATATATATATATATATAAGGAAGGAATGGATGTTTTATGATCATTTTGATTTGCTTTGTACTTTTATCATAATGAAAAAGATACAGTAATCTTTAAATAAACTTCTCTTTTTTTAAGATTTATGTTTCATGTACACTTCAATTGTCGGGTCTTCCTTACCACCACAAACGATACTTATTGCATGCAAGTTTCACATCTCCTCCCCATATCCATATTAGCAACATCACATACATCCCACGTAACATGCCACGAGCTACACCTTATCGATAAGTCGTAGCCTTCTCCACGTAGTCTAACTTCATCCAATGGCGACGGATCTAAAAGAAATTTTAAGGGTGGATGATACATGTACCAAAACTCATAATCGTGATGGATTGACAAGGAGAAAGCCCAACACATTTCCATATGCATCGAAAGGGAAGTGGGCCACAAATTCACAATTGGATCATCCAATTAAGACTAGAATAGAAGTAGACTTGTGGAGACTTTTTGAATGATATCAAGGTATTATTTGATCGACGTGTCTTCTTGAAAATGAAAAAAACAGTTCTCTTAATTTTCTAAGAGCGCTTGAAATGCGTCAATCCTATGTTGAAAATTCAAGATACGTTCATTTTAGTTAAGGCGGTGAATGCAAAAATTCTTATTAAAGAGATTAATATGGAATTTTATAAATATTACAAATTTGAGCCTTACAACCCCAACAGTAGGTCAGGTTTGTGGGCATTACACTCAAGTGGTTTGGCGCAACTCGGTTAGGCTCGGTTGTGCTAAGGTGACATGCAACAATGGTGCAACATAGGTGAAAAACCGTTCTAAAAAAGCTTCTTTTGATTAAAAACCTTCAAAATAAAAAAGCTATATATATATATATAGTTATATGCATGTACTAATCGGCTGCATGGCAGATAATGAATGAGGGAGGAATGGATGTTTTGTTATTTTGATTTGCTTTGTACTTTTATAGTAATTAATAGGATACTGAAATCTTTGAATAATGATTTATGTTTGATGCAATAATAATATATAATTCTATATATTTTTAATATGATAGGCCATAGAAAATTAAAACTTAAATTTATTTAATTTATAAATAGAGTTATACACCTACAATACATAATAATTTTTACAATAAATGTTAGGACTTTAAAAAAAATAAAGTGAGATCAATATAAAATAAGGCATGCGCAAGAGATAAAATTTAATGTGATTCAACTTTGTCAACCTCCACGGATGAAAAGAATAATAACTCATTACATATGTAGAAATTACGAAAAGTAAAAACACACGAGATCACATTTATCCTAAAATTCGGTATTTATATCAAAATCTGGAGTATCCCAAATCACTTTCATAATATCCCACAAAATTATCTCTGCAACATAAATCCCGAAACTTACAGAGATACCAAAAAAATTACATCTCTCCAAAATAATTCTCTCACGCATAATTCTAAATGCTAAGACATTTTCTCTATTTATATAGTCAAATATTTGTTTATATTAAGTATTCACTTATTAAATAAATTTAATTATCAAATAATTTTCAATCACTAGAATTATAATAAAATCTAACTTAAATATTAATTATAATTTGAGTTAAAATATAACAATACATAATAATTTAAAAAAAATAAAAAAAAACAACTAGATTTGGATAAAGTTGATTTTCGTTAGTTGAGATAGGATACTAAAATAATGATAAATTTACTTGAATTTTTTATTCGATTATATATATATATATATATGATACTGGCATCTTGATTTAAATGGGTTTATCAGTTTGGCATTTCGGTATAAATTGATTCTTATAATTGTTTATTCAATTTGATTTAAACTCATGTATTAATCCAAATAAAAAATCAAATTTAAAAAATTAAAACTTAAAACAAAATTTAAATGTCAAAAAAATATATTTAATTTGCTCAATCAACCGGATGGCATCATTTCATTATTCCATAAACGAGTTTGCATTCTCGCACATTGTACGAAGAATACATGTATAGATTAATATAATTTTAATAATCATGTTAAAATGTTTAACTATTTTTTATATAACAAAAACTTAAATATGATTTTCTAAAAAAATCTAGATGTAATATTTTTTTAACTTGAAATATAATAGAATTTTCTTAAAGAAAAATTATACAAACTAATGGAAAATACACCTTTAAAAAGGATGATATGTCATAAATATTATATTAGAGGTAAATATTTCTTACAAATTAAATCATAATATATGTTTAAAGACCCTCAACAATTTGATATTAAACGCTCATACATCCGTATATACGTGGTGTTCGAACCCGATATCTTAAAGAATAACAACAATTCATTAACTACCTATATCGTTTGATTAATTTAAGAATGAATTAATTGTTGTAATTGTATTGTTATTGTATATTCGAAGTTTGGTTCAAGTCACTGGCAGAAATCATTTTGGAAGGGCGAGGAGATTTAAAATGCATGATCTCATACTTGATTATGCACTTTTACTAACAAAGGAAGATAATTTTCTTTTTGTATCTGATTTGAAACCTAAGCTATCCAAATTCTCAAATGAGGAGAAAAACCATAAGAGCATAGTTAAGTTGAAATATCAATGGTATACACCCCATAACAATTTTTGGCTCTCGGATTGAAAGGTCAATGCTAGGTGGTGCTTGCGAAAGATGTTCAAAATGAGGGATAAAGCTGCCATAGTCCTCTCTTCTGGTTTCAATGGGAGAGAGATTAATGTCATCTGGATTTGGGGCGAGATCAGGCGCTATATACCTCATGTTTCTTGGCAAAAACTTATATGGTTTCCTATGCATGTTCCTAAACACACTATCCTTGGTATCCTTGGTAGGCTCAATACTAAAGATAGATTGTTGGGCATGAATATTGTTGTTGATCCTTTCTGTGTGTTCTGTACTTCTGCTGTGGAGTTTAGAGAACATCTATTTTTTGTTTGTCCCTTTTCTTGTTGTATTTGGGAAAGGGTTCTTCAGTTGTACAACATTGGCAGGGCAGTTGCGGATTGGGAGCATGAATTGGCTTGGACTTGCACCCAGATGACGGGTAAGACTATACTAGCTTATGTTTTTAGAATTGTTTGGGTAGTTCATATCTATTGTGTGTGGAGGGAAAGGAACCGTCGGATTTTTGGGTACCACTTGTTCGGCTTATGTAATTTTGGAGGATACAAGGGAAATGGTAAGGATTAAAGCTAGTGGTCGTTGTACAGGTTCCATGAGCTTTGTAAATAGAAGGCTTTGCATTACTTGGGGTATCTCCATATTTTTTGCAAAGGAAACCTTTTCTTTTCATGTACTTTGTGCAGATTCTTTCTGCTTTCTTGGATAATATACTGCAACTTATACAAAAAAAATGTTTCAAAAGTCTTCAATTGTATCATTATGATATATAATGCTCAAACTTTACTAGTTCAAGCCTAAACTGCGTAAGAATGTATACCAACTATATATAAACCATTCATCTTTCCTTTACGAGCAAACATGATATATAAATAGAAACAAAGATTATATATTTTCCTGTTCTTGGGCTTTTTTCTGTGCATGCTCATTCACTCAGAGTCATGGTTTAACTTCCCAAAGTGTTATGAAGAATAGAAGTAGATCTCAGCCGATAGAACTGCAAGTGAATGTCATGTGAAGCTTGGTTTCGCTTTCATGTCAAAATCCTGCAACAATTGCGCAGCAAATCTTTTCCTGTCTTGCATGTCGAAGGTGGTCGAATGAGAAGGTTGTTGGGTGTTGTTGATCCCGCAGAAATCAGATTCGGCTGCCCCTAATTCTAACCTTCTTCCTACCTGAATGTTCTGGGGAAGGCCGAGGGTGAGCGAAACACTGTTTCCATGAAACATCGGTGTCATCTGGTTCGGATCGAACCTCCCCATATCTCCCATCGCACCATACGTTGCAAATCCATCACCTTGCTTCATCTCCATGTCCATGGAAAGGATACTACTAGGGGAACTCTGCAACTCATTAACAGTACCCCTTGGCTTTTTCGGGCTTCTTTGAGCTGCACCATCGAGGTCGGTCGATCCGATGAGATTGAAGGCTGGTCGTGGCAGAAAGGAGGCTCCCATGGGAGATGTGGAGATGGTGGAGTTGGAAAACTGATCAGTCTGGGATTGTGTTTTGACTTGATCGATCATAAATGAGACACTCTCTTGCTGGGCATTGGAGCTACACCCTGACTCCTTTTGCTCCGTCTCGTTTGCGTTCTTTTCTTGCTCCTTGACTTCCTCCATGTACATTTCTTCTACCATTGGCTTCCATAGCCGAACTCGAGCATTTATGAACCAGTTTGACACCTGCATACCCAGTTCAATTGTTTGACGAATAAAATACACAATCTCAAATTATGATTTGGTCCCTCTATTATTATAATCAAATTTGAGATTCAGTCTCAATCTCTTTTTTTTTTCCGCACATCATAATTTTATTTATTATAAAATCCATTTAAAATGGATGAAAAACAATCCCAAGGGAATCCATACAAGAACTACTCCCAACTAAAAAAAGTTTCCCTTACTAGGACATCTATATCCCAATATCTTTCTACGTATCAAACTCCACACCTAAAACTTCATACAATACAATCAAAACGATTTTGATAAAATGCAAGGATTTGAAGCATAATTAAACGCTTAGTCTCTAAATTTTGATTTACCATAATTTAATATATACATTTATAATGTTATCAGCTTGGTCATTTAACTATTTCAATTAAAACGTTGTCATTGATATTTTTACTATTATATAACTATATATATTATATCTTAATCAAAATAATTAGTTAACTATATAGATTAATTAATGATATTATAAACATAGTGTATACAAAATAAAGAGTGAAACTCAAATTTGAATACAGTAAAGGGACCAAAACCATAATTTGACCAAAGAACAATGATCAAAGAAGAAGAATATATATAGAGATTGAAGTGAGAGCATGCACATAAGACTTACCTGGCTTCTTGTAAGCCCTGTTTGTTTGGCAAGCATATGTTTGTCAGAATCTTTAGGATATCTGGGGACAAAGTTGAATGGATTTCGTATTGAGCGGTAATACGTATATGATAATCATGTAATTAGAGGAATTGTAATTTCTAGTTACATACGGGTGAAGGAAATGCTCGAAAAGCCAAGCACGAAGAACGGAAACAGCTCGCTCCGGCAATCCTCTTTGGGGTCTCCAAGCATTGTGTTGGACCATTCCCAGCTGCTGCAACGCTCGCTGTTGTCGGAGCTGATGATCCACGTATAGTAGTCTCGAACCCTCCACCACATTTGCACCCAACCAATCCTCTTCTCCCAAACTCTTGCTCGTGGCTTTGATTTGTCCCGATATTGCGTCTTTGAGACACCGAAATTGCTTCGAAATCGTCTTCAAAGCAAGGGCGGTGTAGGATTTCGCTGCACCGAATCCCTCCGCCTGCTCGAACGAAGATACCACGATTTGCATTTGATGGCGGTACTGTCTGTACCTTTGCTCCACCTTCAAGTTCATAAACAAAGAGCCAATAGTATTAGCGGAATACTAATAGATAACGGGGAAGAAGAGTCGGATTCAATAAAGTTAATATGAACTTAAACCTCATCAAGCATGGTGATTAGTTTTGCTTTCTTCATCTGCAGGTCCTGTCTCTGTGCTGTGGTGAGCTCAGCTCCACGTTTAGTTCCATTTTCACCAGCGACCACCGATTCTTTGTTCACTTTTATCTTCTCTTTGGTCCCCTCAAACACGTCAGTCTTTATCCCTTTTCTCACATTAACCACTTCATCGAGAAGCTCCTGTGCTGCTCTCAAGTACTTTGATCCAAAGACCACACTCTGAGCACCGGAAATCCCATTCGAAACGACGGAAACCGACGACGACGAGTTCCCCGATATCCTCACGTCATCGGCCAGTGACATCGTTGGAACTTGAGGTTGTTGTTGTTGCCCTTGTATGTCTGTCTCAACGTTATTGTTGCCTGACCTATAAGCTGCTTGTTGGGATGACAGACTCAGGGACAAGCCTTGCCTCGGCGACACCACCGGCCGAAGAAACCCCGTCTGTGCATCGTGGGACCCACCCGAGTTATCTGCTGCTGCCGACACAACCTGAGGATGGCTACTTCCCGGAGAATTCTGATGATCAAGAGTACTTGAAGTGCCCCATAAGTTAGAGTGAAAACCGGGGACTAAACCATGAAGAGGCGATGGACGGTGGGGATCATCGGCATCGACCTGTCTGACGGAAGCCGATGGCTGTGTTTGGAGAGGAAGACCGAGGAAGCGGTGATAGTTGTTAGGCGGTGGCGAATGGGGCAAGCATGTGGGGTTTAAGAAGTACATATTAGTGGCGGCGGCTGCTTGGTGTGTATCAGAGTAGGGAACGGAGTTGGGGTTCATGAGATAGAGTGTTTGCATCCCATCAGCAGCTTGGAATTCTGAGCTTCCATGAAAGTACGTCGCCATCTCGATCACCAAAACACTCCCAAATTAATCTCACCTTTTGTACCTGTGTACGGAACTGCAGAACTTTAACTGGAAAGACAATAAACTGACTTGAAGTGAACAAATCAGCCCATTTGATGATCAATTCATAATTACCTGGAAACAACAAAGTGAAAGCCAAAGCACCCATAAGTGAAAACTGAGATCAATTTCTGTTAAAGAAGGAAAGGAAGGCGTTGCAGAGACAGGCAAAGTACCATATTCCAATCCAATAATGGCTACAAACACACGAGAGAAGATGCATATCTGTGAGAGAGTCGGCACACGTTCTGTTTATGATGGAAGGAAAGAAATTATACCTTTTTAGGCTTTTTTATGTTTGAGTGTAGTGGTTTTTTACAGATGTTGTCAGACTCCAGATTTTCTTTGCTATTTTCCTTTCCTTACAGTTCATAAATAATTGATGACAACTAAAAGGAAAAGAGAGAAATGCAAAGAAGAAAATGATACCCACTTTTCTTTTCTTCCTTTTCTCTTTATTTATTTTGTTGTTGTTGTTTTCCTTCAAAAATAATGGTTTTTTATTGGAGGAGATTCTAATTGAATAAGAAAATAATTAAAATTCACTGTTTAGTCTATTGTTTTGCCTTTATTTTACAGTTCTTGTTTTTTTCATTATTCTATCTCACCAATGGTGTCAGGTAGGGGCAATAGATCTTCAAAGTTAAGTTAAAAATGGCAGTGGGGCATGCAGCTGGAAAACAAGGAAATGAATATATGTATGAAGCTTTGGGTCTTGTTTGGCTATGGCATAATGAAAATATATATTAGTGTCTAGTTTTTGCATAATTGGTCATTTTATCTTTTAAACTTTTAAAAAATATTTTAACTCTAAATATTTTAATTTTTAGTTAAAATAATCATTATTAAATTATTAGTTAATTAATAATTCACACATATTTTTAATATAATATTTTTATATATATTTAATTTATGATGTGACAAACGTCACTTCATTAAAATACTGACATAACATGTCAAATATTATTTAAAATGATATATGACAAATTTTACGTAAATTAAAATGATGACATTACATATTTCACGTCACACAAAGTGATAATATGTTACTAATCATGAATTACCCGGTAATTTTTCAAGCATATCATATATATGCTTTCAATAAATATATCAATATTTAAGGTTTTTTGAAATAAAAAATGCTAAGGATGCAATATTTTAAGAGAACACTCGCTGCATATGGTATATTATTATCTAAGAAAATTTAATTTATGAAATATAAAATCATTTGAAACATCATTGAAAATATATTATACTATTCGATTTGATTTATTTAGTAGGCATATATTAACCACTGAATTAATCCCAAGTGACAAGGCTTACTCATACAGTCACTATACAAATTATCCTTGATTATGACACATCCTTTCTTAGAGCATTAGCATAAGTGAGTATTAGACTTTTAGGGGCTTATAGCTATTAATAAATTTTATCAATTAGTCTAGAGAGATGAGGCACTAGATCTCTTAAGCAAGGTCAGGAGTTCATATATTGCGTTTGCGAATGGAACAAACTAGATTAGGAGGGTAGTCCTCGTCTCTATAGTACCCGATTTGGATTAATCGGTCAATAGATCTAAATCAGTGATTAATTCAAAAAAATTATCAAGCAATTATAAAAATATCATTCAGATCGTGAGGTATTCATAATTTTCTTTTTCGTTTTTTGAAAGTGATTCATAATCTTGTATACTATATAAACACTCAAAAGTATTTAGACAATTTGTAACACTTAAAGGTATTTTAGTAAATTAATTAAAGAATTATGGCCTCCCCTTAGTTATTCGTCTTAATTTGAACCTACCATGTTATTAAAAATTTAAAAGAAAAAACTAAAATAGAAAATCAAAAAATGCAAAATAAAAGTATAAATATAAAAAGAATTCTTTAAAGATATTTTATTTCTAGAATTCATGTTTTGAATTTATATATTTTTTAAATTATTACTATGTTTAATTTGATTTTAAAATTTAAAATTTATGAAATCATTAAAAAGATTAAAAATTCTAAAAAGTATATGTTTCTGAAAAGGAAATATGAGATTTTTTATACTTTTAAGGATTTTTTTATATTTTTTAAGGATTTTTTAAAAGTAATAATGGTTTTTATTCTTTTCATTACTGTGGCAGTGTATATATCATGTAATATTTTTTTAATAATATTGATGGTAAAATAAAGTAATAAATAAATAATAATACATGTGGAAAGTGAGAAAAGAAAATAGAATGTTAAACAAAGATTAAAATACATACAGGAAGGACAAGCACTCCCTTTAAAAATTATTATATATTTTAAATTTTTTATTAAAAAATTTATTTCGGCCCACTGAATTTTATAAATGTTTTCTCTCTTAAAATTTAAAAATTTCATCCATCTAACATAAAATTCTACTCGCTAAATAGAAATAGAAAAAGTGATTTAAAGTTATAAAAAATTAAATTGAATGGGTTAATCTTGTAAACATAAGACAAGTGAAGTTTGGGTATTAATTAATAATGATTATTAAAGGGATTAAGTAATGATAGTTGAAGAGATGGACTTATTTAATTGACTAATTAAAGTGAATCTATCCCTACTGCCGCCATAATATGGAACACCAAATTCAGATGGGCACACAATTAAATTCCTCTTAATTTATGTTTACCCTTGTCCTTTAAATTAATTAACCTAACCTACCATCATTCTCCAATATTTTAATACCGAATTTAGCTAGCCCTCACTAATATTGAAAAGCCTTTTTTTCAAAAAAAAAGTTTTATTTTTTACTTTTTAATGTAATTAAAACATTATACTAAATAATTAAATTAATTATTTTTAAAATTAAAAATAATATCGACAAAAGTGCTAGGATAATCATATGGTGAAAACAATATTAAATTTAGGTAAACTACATCAGATATTATCTAACTTCAGGTGTTGTATCGTTTATATCACTGAAGTTTTAATTTTACCAATTATAGTATTGAACTTTGATTTTCGTTTCAATTATACCATTAAACCTTTAAATCATTAAAGGCACGATGACGTGGATGATAGTTGCCAATGTGGCTAATGGCTTTTGACTTAAACACCTCACCAAAACGATATCGTTTTGGTTTGACTATTAACGATTTAATGACTCAACAATATAATTAAAACGAAAATCAAAATTTAGTGTTATAATCGACAAAATTAAAAGTTCAACGGAATAAGAGAAAGTCGAAACGAAAATCAAAGTTTAGTGATATAAGGTATAGTTTACCCTTCCAATTTAATGTGTTTGGAAGATTATTTTCTCAATAGGGTGGACTGAACAGTATAAGAGAAAGTTAATTGGACTATCTGGTGACTTCATGAAACCGGTCGAACTGCAAGGTATCTTTTACATGACGCCAGGATGTTCAAACTATGTAGAGCCGCGAGAGTCATACAAGGAGAATGCAGAAGACGCTTCACAGTCTGGTCGACTTCTTGAAATCACTGAAAAATTCAATTAACTTTTCATGTACAATTCATTCCACCCTAATTGAAAAAATAATCTTTTAAAATTATTAAATGAAAGATTATATTTCTCTTATATCACTATCCTAACATTTTTATTCTTTTGAATCTTTAAATCATATAGATAGTTCACATTTCAAAATTCTAACTTTTCTGAAAATATACATTTAAGAAAGTGTTCTTAAATTTCATTATTATGTAAAATATAAGACTAATATATTATGAAAAATTAACTGAGTTTTAATAATATATATTTTAAAAGTTTAAATATATATAAACTTATTAAATTAATTAACTTTTTCAAGAAAAAATGTTACTACTGAATAAACATCTAACAAATTTTATTCGTCTGTTGGTAAAATCTTAATACTGCCCCAATATTGATTTTCTCATGTTTGCTTAGCAAATCATTTCAATGTCATTATTGGAAGTCTAATATATTTTTAAAGAAAGGGTAAAGTACACAAATGATCTCCTGACTATAGGGTGATGCTTTGTTGAGTATCTCGACTATTAAAAGTTATAAAATGGTCCTTCAACTATAGGATGTTGCTTTATTGAGTCATCTTACTATTAAAAGTTACAAAATGGTTACCTAACTATTCATATATTTCAAACTCATTCTTTTTCGTTAAAAAATTAGCAGTCATCTAAGTTTGACATTAACTTGTTAACTAAAATATGATAAAATCATGTTTTAGTAATGCCTATTGGCATCGTCGTTGTTTTTAAGCACTGGCTCGACGGCATAATCTTTCAAGCACTGACTCTACAATATAATGTAAACGGAGAGTTGATCCATAAAATACAGTTCAAACGGTTTTAGGATAAGGTTTTATCATATCTCGATCAACAAGTTAATGTGCAGCTCAGACGATGACCAATTTTTAAACAGAAAAAGACGAACTTGAAATATATGAATAGTCGAGTGATCATTTTGTAACTTTGAATAGTCGGATGATTCAACAAAGTAACATCCTATAATCGAGGGACTATTTTTATAATTTTTAATAATATATAAACTTAACAAAATATCACTCTATAATCGAAAGATCATTTGTGTACTTTACCTTTTTAATAACTATATCAGGCTTACTAAACTTATCATGTTAGTAAAATTTAATTTTTTTGTATACAGTAATACTTGTATGAAATAAATCCATGGAACCGAAGAATACATAATAACAAAGCAACATCAATTAGGCACGATATGTGGGTCTGAGGGTCTGGCTTCGTACGTGTTATTTTCTCACCGAAAGCCCCGGGCGACACGCAAGCGTAGCACCAGCTGCTGTAGATAGGAATAACTATTTGATAGAGTAAAGTTAAAAAAATCAAGATAATTGAATTTAAAGTTATTATTTTATAATTTAAATTTTATTTGGAATTATTTTAATTCGAGTTAATTGAGTTTATGTTTAAATTTAGGGTAAAGTATATAAATAGTCCCTTGATATAGGGCTTTGTTTTGTTGAGTCATCCGATTATTTAAAGTTACAAAATGATCTTCCGACTATAGAATGTTATTTTATTGAATTTTCCGACTATTAAAATTATAAATTGATCATTT